ATCCATATATAAATATATAGATACAGTACATGTATGATTTTATAATAAAGCACATAAATATTTACAGATCACTTATGCTTGTAAGGGCAGTCTGGACAGCAGTCATCTAAATGCATAACAATTTCAGCCAACAAGGATATTATGAATGATTTATCTTGCGTTAAAAAAGCCTCATGTTTAACATTGAGTTATGCTTGTTGTGGAGGAGAATGTAAAACAATTTCAATGCTGCAAAATGAAATTTCACCATGTGTGCTGCATCGCTGCAGTGGTGGTCAGAATGAGGTTGCTCATACAGTGTGCAGCTCCAGCTCTCTCAGGATAACAGACTGCATTAACTGCCTACTCTTAGTCTCTTCAGGGCTGGCTCCTGTCATCTAGATAGTCTATCCCGTGATCTGACTTCACTTTTTTATCTGTACAGAAAGTTTTTGATTTAAAAGTTCTGAAATGCTTATTTTAACATAGGACACACGGTTCCATTAAAAATGCAATTTCATTAAGTAATTCTTTCAGAAGAGCTAAGTATAGTTTTAAAGCAAGGCTCAGGTTTTGTTAAAATGCAAGAGGGCATTTTATTATTGTTTTAAGTATTTGCGCTGCTCTATAAAAGAGTTAAAAGTGTGAAGAAAATATTTGATTGCGTGCACTCCAGGGCATGCCAAAACCTTAGGATGCATGGAAAATGAGGAGTCTGCTCAGCAGAGCTGAGTTAAATTACTGTAATAAGCAATTAGACACTGCAGTAGGTTTGACTCATTTTCCATTACCTGAATCAAAGAGTGATGCATAGCTGTTGTTTTCTGTGTGTGTCTTTTGAGATTGTTCTGATCAAAAATAGAGGTTAAGGACTCGGGGATTGTTTTTTTATCAGAATGAAGCTCAAAAAAGTATATTTAAGGTTCCTTTTTCTTCTACATCATTTTTAAATTTTACTGATACCTTCATTATGTTCTGAACTATCTGGAATTAAAATGACAACATTTTTGCTGAACTCCTTGTGAAGTTTGCGATTGGTGCTTAGAATTTCTTAGATCCTACAATGTCTGGCAAGAACCAGTAAGTAAAGTACTTTTCAGTGCAGTTAAAGATATTGTAAATGTAATATAGCCTGAGGGATTGCCTAGCTACAGTGTGCAAGGAAAAGACCAATAAAGTGCACTGAGGAAAAAGACATTCTCCAGGACAATCTAAAATGTAATCTATGAAGGCGAAAGTCTTGTGTGCAGTGTACGAAGATCTTCATGTTTTGCACTTGGATAATTGGCAATGAGGTATATACAGTATAGTGGTTTTCATTCTGAAGAACCCCAACAAACATTACATATTGGGAACCTACTGTATTTCTTTTATCATCACTGCTACTGCCTGGTACCTGAGAGACACAAAGCATGGATTATGCACCAGACGCCCCACTACACTACAGATCAGGTAGAAAAATGTAAGGATTTGGTTCACAGATTGACTTATCTGGGTTCTTTAGGTAGGTCTGATTATATAAACCCAAAGTGGAATTTGCTGTTAATTCATCTAATATATTAAGCAATACCAGACAACATTTTGAACAATTCCAGACAATGACCATTTCCTCAGGACCTTGGTTTAACATTTCATCCAAAAAACCTCTTACACTACAGTGTCTCATGAAATACATCATTATGCTACTTTTCTAAAAACTAAATTTGACACTACTAAGTTTTAGTATTTAAGAAGTCTGCAGACACTATTTGGCGATGTCATTTGATGTTTACGGTTCTTAAAAAATAAAGATGTGGGCTGACAGAGGGAGAAAGTGTTTGTTATTAGCATACAATTGTAGTTGCTGCACGAATCTGTCTTCCTTTTACAGTACCTCCTCTGTGCACACAAAGAATATTCTATGAATCATTTCTTGGGAGTAAGGTGGGCAATCGGTGGTGTACCCTGAATGTAGCAAGATATCAATGTGTCCTTCTTAATTCAAGTCAAGTCCAGTAAAAGCCAGTCCTGAACGCCACTGATAAATACTCCAGTTTGTCAATATTCAATGGAATGGGTCAGGCTGAAGGTCAGAGGTGTAAAAGCAGCAACATTCACAGGAGACATGCCTTTGAAGCCCTGACAAACCACGACGATAAGCTGTCAACAGCTGCTTCAGATGGTGGATCTTCAGACAGACCTGGCCCCTGTTCAACTAGTTTCAACCGCGGCAGAACTGGAAAGGTCACTGTAATCACCCTTAACAACTATTGAAGTGATTAGGGTACAAAATCAAGCAGACAAATTAAGTTTTAATGACAAGTGCTTTTACAGAATGAGCCCCTTTGAACTGTATTCAATAGCAGAAACAAGTGCACCATTCTGCTTCTCATTTAGACTCTAGATGTGCAATCAGAGGTTATGTGGTATGGAAATCAAATCATTAGGCCTTTTAACCCAGCACTTATAGAAACACATTTTCTTAGCGTTAAAAACAATAAACAACTTGAAATCCCTCTGACCTGCCAGCCTTGACAAAAAAAAAACATTTTCTGAGGCAGAGCAGAGTTATTAAATATCGAGTAACTTTAAGGAGAAAGCCCTTTGCATGTCATGTAATTTGTATATTTTGTTTTTTTAAACAAAACCATGATTTATAATTCCTATCACAACAGATGCGTTCAAGCTGTTGTGTTTCATTACATTTCACAAGGTACTGACAGTATTGCATTGACCTCTTTCATGTGGATATCGCTGTTCCTGTCCCATTTGACTTTTAGAATCTGTTAAATTGTGTTTATCCCAGCACAGTATAGCCAACATGAGAACAAATTCATCACCCCAGGGAGCAGGTGACATTAATTATGTGTGTCTCTGTTTCAGTTCTAAACACATTGACACATTTGACACTGTCAAATTGCCAACCCATTTTGAGTATTAAGATGGCAGTGCAGCTCCCTCTACAATCAAATGTATCTGGTGTGTTTCAAACACAGTTCAAATGTGAGAATGCCCTTCAAATGGTTGGAATGGCACGCAAATAACATATTTTAGAAATCAAGATGGCGAAGAGAAGCTGAGTTTACTGGGCGGAGCGGTGGCACTGTGGCTAAGGATCTGTGCTGGTGGCTTGCTCAATTGAGGTCGCTGGCTCAAATCCCATGGCTGGCAGAGGAATCCTACTCCATTGGGCCCCTGAGCAAGGCCCTTAAACCCAACTGCTCTAGGGGTGCTGTACAATTGCTGACCCTGTGCTCTGACTCCAAGCTGGGGTATGCGAAAAGATGAATTCCTAATGCAAGAAATTGTATATAGCCAATAAATTGATCTTATCTTAGAGGGCAGTTGACATTGATTGAAGGTGGTACAGTGCCATGACAGTTAGTGCTGTTACTTCCCAGCTCTTATTCTGCAGGTTCGAATCTGACTTGGAGTGCCTTATGTGTGAAGCCTGCATGTTTAACCCCGTGACTGTGGGGGCTTCTGTGGGTCTTTTAGCATCCTCCCACAGTCCAAAGACTATTAATTGGCCTCTTTAAATTGCCCCATAGATGCTTATGTGGTTGCGAGGGTGTGTGTGTGTCCCACCCTGGATATATCCTCCCTTGTGTCCACTGACTGCCAGGTTAGGTTCCAGTTCACCGCAAACTTGTATTGGACTACTGTACATGCTATTTTAAACTTAGATCAAATTAACTGTACCATGTAATCTCTTTGGTCTTATTTTAACAATATGAAATTTTGAAACTTGTAAGTTCACTCTTCCATCCTCTCGTTACCAGAAACCTGCATCTTCCCAATAAGTACTGTTAAAACACACCTAGAACATCTGGGCACCAGGAGAAGCTACACTTCAGTATATTCTTCCCATTTCTTTTTATTATCTTGTAGTGAAGTTCTGGTTGTATTTTGAAATAAGCCAATTTTTGCGTGAGTGTGGAACATGTGGCCTGTCCCTCTTCTTCATTTCTGAAAAATAATTAGTAATAATAAAGAATTAAACAGTGTTATTTTATACTTTCCCTTAAAATCTAATTTTTCTTAAAATGCCCTTTGAGTTAAGCACTGTATTTCAGTGTGTGATTCATGAAGCTAATGAAGCTTTCAACGAATTCTCTGACAGAGTGCGAGAGAGGTGTGGATCCATCTTCGTATGAAGTATGACTACCATCCCACAAAGCATCCTTTAAAGTTATCTGCACTTCACCTCCCTAAACTGAAAGGAAAACCTCAGTTCAAAACATATTAACAAAATCATCATCATTTAATCAAGATCTCGCAAAGTCCACCTCCAGAGAATGACCTATGGTGCCAAACTTAATACTTGAGGATTTTGCGGAGAGCCACTTAAAATGCCAGGTCCGTCAATCCACATCTGTGAGGCATTTTATAGCACTTCAGAAAAAATATGTACATCTAGTGAGATTACACCACTACTGTTTTTTTTTTTTTTTTAGGGGCTGCTTTTCAGAATCATATTCAGCTTTATAATTATTAGTTGCAATCAGAGACAGAAATCTAGTCCTTCTGTTCCCATGACAACTTTGGTAAAACAGCGACCAAGCTGATGAACACTCCAGATGCAGGGCCCTTTCCTTCACAGAGGGAAACTCTTAACATCCTGGAAAATCGGGCTTGCTTTTACCCAGAACTGTTGCTGTTCTTTGTTTTCCATTTTATTTTGTACAGTAAATAATTGTGAGCTTGACTGAGATATACACTGCACATTATAAACCGTAATCATTTTGTGCAGAACCCCTAAATACTCTGCGCATGTAGCCTTTGCAATTCGGCTTTCAGTCTACCTTTGCCTTTCCTGTCTTTGTATTCAGATATGCAGCCCATCTCATTCAGTAAAACTACATTCTCTCGAGACTGCAGTGAAGAGTGAGGAGCAACTCAAAGCAGAGTAGTAGATGTTACATGTCATTAACTCTACCAGCTGGTGGTTGGTTCAAAAAGGCATTCACTGGAAAAGGCTTCCTTATATATATATACACACACACACAGAATATACGTCTTCCTGCCTCTTCTGAGAGCTGCTGCCTTCAGCTGTCCTCGTCAGACTCGCTTTTACCGGAGGTCTTCTTCTTGGTCATTTCTGATGTCTTGGGATCCTATCGGTGACATTTTTGTTCTTACATCATGTCTGGGTCTATTGTCATTTTAATAAGTAGGTACAAGAATGTATGTTAATGTTACTGCAGGGAGAACCTTTTTTTTTTTGGTTCTTCCTCTTATTTCTAGCATACTTTTTTTTTCCTTGCCCATATTTAGGAGAGGGATTAATGGAGGATGAATGAAGTGAGTTGTGGCGACAGGGGAGCGTGCTCAGGCTGGCTCTGTAATCCACTGAGAGTGAGCTTGCTCAGCTGCGAGTACAGGGAGGAAATGGGGGCTGCTCTCTAACTCTTCACTAGCAGAGGAAATAGCTCATGTTCAGGCCCAATCCGTGAAATTGCAAATGACTTCTGAACACTTGTTAGTTACATTTATTTATAATTCTGGTTTGATGATTAACTGACACAAATATGTCTCTGAAGTGTCTTCGCTGGCAGCTGTCAGAGGGCTTTACTGCAGCATGATTTTCAACTAATTTTTCCTCTTAAAAAAAAAAATCAAGATCTTGTTTCGATCAGGAACATTTCTGTGTTCACAGCTCGAGCGGTGTTGAAAAGCCATCTATGATGTGACAGAGGGAGTTTGAATGGATGCATAAGATGAACAGTTCAGTTATTTCTCATGTCAATCAATAGGCCAGCAATTAAAACCATTTATAAACCACAGTGGAATATTTTATGGTTGTGTGATTTTCACGTGGGCTACTGTCCTTATAGCCTTTTTGGTGTTGGGAACATTGCTTTTGTGCATAAAGGGATTCCATTTGTCATTATTGCTCCTTCCTTAAGGAAACCATCCCAGTTTTTAATATCTGGATTGGTCCTGTGAGAACATTGTATCTCAATTTAAAGATTATGGTTAATTGGTACACATGTAATCTTATTGTAAATTAGAAGTTTTTTCCTTCTAAAAATCGTAATGAAAAATAGGTGTACAGTACCTCCTGACAGGAATCTGAAACAAAGTACAACAAGAATTTGGTTTAGAACTAAACACGTGGACTCATGAGAAATTACATAAATAATTATCAGTTTGCAGAATGCATGATTTAGGATGTTGGTATGAATTGACTGAAGTAACAGATGCCTCGAAAGCATGAAACGGTCACTGATACCTCAAACCATGTGCGAGTACCTGCCCCGTGATGCATACAGTACCTGAAATCTACAAGGCCTCCACCAACACAGACATCGCACAAGGTCTTGTGGGAGAGCTGTCCAATGAGGGTTCAGACCCAGCAACAGGTCCATAGTGGCTTGCGATTCAATAGGTTACCGTTGATCATTAGGGGCCAGTTTGTCCCACATGTTTTCAACCAGGTCCATACTGGGCGATTATGATGGTCAATCCAGCTCTTAAACTTTGTGTGAATGAAAGAATGTAACCCAGGATGTGGGAAGACAAACATGGTCAGTTTTGCAAACAAAATATCTAACTGCGTCATCAAATTTATGCCATTACTGGATGGAAGACTGGTAAAGCTACAGTCAATAAATCCAGCCTTCTAACTATAGTTAGCTTTCTTTCCTACATTATAGAGCAACCATGTACACCATTAAAAAAAAAAAAAATTCCACAGTCATCAGAAATTTTTAAACCCTAAATTAAAATTCAGCCATTCATTCTTCATTTTGGATTCTGAGTAAGTTCCTTGAATGCAAGATTGACATCCGGAGTTAACCAGAAGCTAAAGGCTTATTTCAGTTTACCAATGAAAACAGATGCTAGGTAATGATTGCTTGCCTCTGGGATCTGCAAGATAGCTATGTCACTGAGTATATGCACAGAACCTCTGTCAGAGTTGTTTTCCAGGCCCTAGATCTCTTCAGCATTAATCCATTGTGAATGTTAACTTACATTTTCACTTCACTAAGAGGACAAAATTTGATTCAGTCTACAGAACTGAAACTATAGCAGGAATTTCCTACTTTATAAAATATTATGCTGCTGTTTCTTGTGAAAGGGAATTTTGGAAGGTTGAGAAGCTCCAGTGTTTTGTAGGTGGTCAGGAATTAATATTCATTCAAATAGGCATTACTATACTGTGTTTAGCTTCTGCTCCTGCTGAATAAGCATCTTATGGCAAACCTGCAAAATATTTAAACAATCCATGTTATTTTTTCTCCCCAATTATCTGTCTTCATGTAAAGTGAGCTAACATTTGAGCATTACTGACATTTAAATCCTATTTAACTGCTGCTTGATCAAACTTTACAGTGCAATCAAACAGTACTTGCCCTTAGATACATGGTCCTGTATTTGGATAAACAAAAAGCTTTCAATTATATTGAATGATTAGCATGTGACATGGCTAAAACATTCAGGATTAACATTCCTTTCTTGTAATTTCAGGTTACTAGTTAATCTTACATCTTTGTGGTAAATAGGTTAATTTCTGTTAATCTTACCAGCAGAGGCACTGAAATACTGCACAGTGCAAGCTCTCCCTTTGTGCCTGTTGGTGTACTTCTCTTGCAGATACAATACTAAACTAAAAGACAATACAATTCTTTGGATAGTTGTTACCATTGGTTCTTTATATTTTAAAGAATTAACATTTTGCAGGCACAAACCAAATTAAACATCCACCCATTTATCTAGCTAGGAGTGAAACTCCTTGCTTGATGGCATAACAGCAGTCTCTTACCTGGGATTTGAACCCACAACCTCAAGGTTACAAGCACAGGAGAACTGATCCCCACTGGTGCCCCAAGTGCAGCTTTTATACTTTTCTCAAAGACTTGTCATTTGCAACACTTTGGATCCTAATGGATCAGACAGCTGCTCCTCGTTGATCAGCTCATTTATATGATGGGGGTGTATTAAACAATACCATTGCAGCTTGTATGTAAATTGCTTCCAATTTCAGTATGAACTTCAAAATGTTGAATGTACTGTAAAAAAATTATTTGTTAAATAGACATTGACAACTGAAGCACAGGGCTGTCATCTGACAATTTTTAAAACAGTGCATTAAAATGATGAAAGGCAATGGCTTCTACAATATAAATGAGTAGACATGATGTGTTCAGTAATGAAGTAGTGTAAAAACATAAAACAGCAGACAGGCTTTCACCTTTCTGCAACTCTTTTTATTGATATAAAAGGGCCCATCTTTCATTTGTCTTTTTTATCAAAAAACATGTTTTAAAGGTAGAATATTTGCCTTTTAACATAGTTTCTGAAAGCCTGAAAAGAATTAGTCATCATAAGATGGCAGATGATTCTGGGAGAAAAACAGGGAAAGGTTTACAAAAAAAAGCAAAATTTCATGTACCTCCAGAGACATATTCTTTAATAATCATTACAGTAAGATTATCACATTCTTAAAAGGTAGGTCTAAAGCTTCTTTTTTGAAGGATTTTACTTCAAGCAGTTGTTATTTCCAAGCAACATCAGATAATGGACAAATCATTGCTCTGAATTAATATTATAATGGCTTGATTAATTTTTCATGTCTTTTTTTTAACTACTGCCAAATCCAGAATTTCAATCACGTATAGGTTAACTCTATGAATTTGTTAAAAACAGCCAGGGCATTCTGGGAGCTGACTCATCTATTAGTCTTTGCAGTGTATTCTGTCATAGAAATTGAAGTTGAAATAAGAAAGATCTTGAAATATGTTTCTGACCCCTAATTATGGTTACTTCTTGTTGTTTAATTCAACTTTTCATTTCTAATAACTCAAAAGGTACATCACTGTGGAAAACTGATTTCTGCCATGTTGGTCTTCATTACTATTTCAGTCCCCCGAGTGCTTTCAGCTTTGTCTCTGGAAGACAGAAGATTGATATCTTTTTCCTTCCGGAATTTGTCAAGAGCACAATATATAATCTACCTTCTAAGTGTGTACGATCAAGCCCTCCTTTTAAGACCACTATTCATCACTTAATAAAGGCGTTTAACTCTGAAATGTAAGCTGCACAGTGTCTTTGTGGTGCAACCCATAAACTATAAAAATGTGATTGGAATAATAAAGCTACAAAAGACATAGACTGGTGAGAGTCCGCTTTGATGGGACCAACTGCACAAGGTTATAAAGTCTTGTGATGGTCTCAGGGGAGAGTCTAACTGTAGCCATGCATACAATTTCTTTGAACTTCACAGGGGTAAACACAATGAAGTTGTAATGAGAATGGGAATGAGAGTGGGGGAAAGATGCACCACGAGCTGCTCAATATGTACCCCATCCAGCCTGAATGAGAGGCTTTTAGCAGCTGTCAGGGACTTGCAGTGCCATTGTTTTATACAAACTCCATTGCAGAGTGATACACAGAATTTTCTGAAGACTGTCATTTCCTCCGGGTGTTTTGTTTATGTGCTATAGGCACAAAGTCTGCTGTCACATTAGCAGGTTAACCGAACCCGGGACCATCAGGAATGCAGGAATGTTTTTTTGCCTGCAAAAATTCTCACTTCTGGGGAAATTCTGTCTGGCAGCACAAGACGCAATGTCTCATATTTACAGGTTTTTTTCCCTTTGCTATTGACATGTATGTGTGTGATACCACAGGACAGGTACCATTTTTTTAAAAACATAAAAAATATATATTTTGAGGTTATCGGAAGTCTTGATAACTTGACAAGACTAGAATAAACAAAGTTTTGCACTTCTACAGTACTACTATCTTAATGCATGCCTAATATACATATCGTATCTGTAATAAGGCTTTGAAGTATGTTTGATGTAAGGATTTGTTTGAAGTTTGTATGCAGTTATGTTTCAAGGTGGTGAATTATACAGCTATTATCATTCTCATGTTTAACAGCTGATTTTTGTTAAATACAGAGTGTAACACCCTATCAGCAAACATACAGTAACTACACATGATTTCCTTAGGAATAAAAGGAATGTGCAAGCTTGTATGTAATATATTGTTTGTTAAGGATTTTAATCCACTAAAAGCTCAAGATTATTGTAGCTACAGGTATATACAAGTTTTCTCTTACTTTTTTATGTTATAGAATGCAAACACCATAATAACAACAACAAAAGCTCCACCCCGGGAGAAGATAATGACTTACAAACCCTAAGCTCTTTGACAGGGTGTTATTTCTTATAGTATGAGTGGTCCTTTGAAGATTTAAAAGGCAAATACATCCCTGCTTTGGGATGTTAACCTGCACATAAATTAAATGCATATTTTATGTGTGTGTAGCGTAAGTGAATAATGCTCTTGCCTGCAATACTACTGACATTTAGAATATGTCCGTCATTTTTTTTTTTGTAGAATCTCTTTTGTGAAAAGGGAGCAGCAAAAATAATAGCTGTGCACTGTCAATAGCACAATTGTTTGACATTTCATCGTGGGTGGTTTATTTCTTTTGTTAGGTGTTTTAATGAGAGCAAGAGGGTGAAGGTGAATTCAAGGAATGCTTGCAAAGTTATAATTACCACTGCTGTATTCTGCTAAGAATCTCTGCATTCTGAAACACTGAACTTTGTTCTGGAAACTGATGTCAGAAAACATTTTTGAACAAACATCTTTCTACTCCTTTCCAGAAACATGGTCCCTGGTATTTTTATTAATCTCCATTTTGACATTTTTATTATCCTTCTTAGGTGGCAGCATACAGTATAGTTTGCCTGCGTTAATTGCCAAAGCGTCTTTGGTGAATTGAGGTTTCATACTGTATTAATAAAACTGAACAATTGAAGTGAATCCTCTAAATGTGTGATGGTGAGACTGGGGTCAATGCTAACCCAGTACAAACAAATTGCTACCCTTGCACTGGAGACCTACAAAACTCAGAATCTAGGCACGTTTCATATATGCTTTATGCAGACTTCAAAGTACTGTATGAAACAAAATTCTAGCTCAAAACAAGAATTTCAAGGATAAGGCTTTATTTAAATGAAGCTGCATAATGGCTTCATAATGCCTTCATAATGTGTGCGTAAGCAATCATGACATTTGTCTAAGCATTGTTTCTACTGCTTGATATGATGCATTCGTTCAATGTCACTTGATCCACACACATTATGTCATTGGCTCGTGTCCCTATAAAACATCCTGCATGTGATTGTAATGTCTTGTATAGCATTTATGACGGGATTATACAGCCACTCTGCAGCAACTTTTAAATGAAGTGTTGCCATTTCACATCAAAGGATGTGGCCTGGTATTGGTAAGTGTGTGTTGATAAGAAACCCAGCTGTGCTTTTGCAGTGTTATTTGGATTTTATTTAAATTGATGATTCAAAAATGTTTATATGCATACATCGTTTTAAAATCGAGCAGAAGTGCCCGGTTTGCAAAAATTGAATTATTCTGGGGCTAAATAACAAAGAATACACATTGTCTAAAGGACGTACTAAATGCATTTTGTTCTAATGGTTCTAATGAACTCCTAATGAAGTGCCTTTTCATCTGCAAAGTACTGGGCCAAGGTACAAGCTCAATTTTCACATTCCAGAAATGTTTTTATAAGTTGCTTATCATTTCTATTTGAAGCTCATCCCTGCATACTGCTGTACATAATAATAAGGCTAGCCAGGGGGACCTCAGCTGCGTGGAGTTCTTCAGAAAT